TGAAATACAAAAGAGATTATCCAGGATCTAGGATTCAAGAAGCAAGAGCTTCAAGAACACAAAGATGGGATTAGAGCTCTAAAAAGTAAAAGACAATAAATTAAAAAGAAACTAAAACAAAAGTAATCTAAAGCTTGGTGGTTTTTTCGTGGCTTTTAGCCTTTAAATACAAAGAGGATTAGGTTTAGGGTCAAAGGAAAGTCAAGGGGGAAGCAACATTTTTCGGGTTTGACTGTTGACTTCTCAGCTCGATCGAGTTGAAGCTTGGCCGGTCGAGTTGAGGAACTCGACCGGTTGGTCGAGCTGGTCTTCAAGATGGCTTCTCCCTTCTTCCTTTGCGTATCCAGTTGAGCTGCGTCCATGTGCCAAGTCCCTCCATGCTCCTCATGTCCCATATGCTCCAGAATGCTCCAAAAGACCTATTTCAAAGGACCAAACATGCATATGTATGCAAATGCAACCTAAAACTAACATGAATGCATAAGAAGAGAAAAGGAACAAGATATGATGCAAATGGATGCTAAAACTATGCAAAAGATGCATAAAAGATGTACTAAAACTATGTAAAATGCAAGTACATCAACACCCCCAAACTTGAACTTTGCTTGCCCTCAAGCAAACAAATAGAACAAGAAAGAGATGAGGTTTGAAAACAAGCTGATTCAACACTTAAAAACATGTCCTCAAAAGCGATTTGCTAAATGTCCAACTTAGAGATTCTAGAATGCAACAAGGTGAGAGATATTCATTAAGATTTAACCATGCTTATCAACATCAATCCCACTTCACAGTCACTCAAACAATGCATTCAAATCAGCAAATCCCTTTAACATTCATTAAGCAAAAACAGTGAACCAAAAACATGCAAGATCAATCAACTCATTTGGTTTCAAGGGTTTATGGGTTAAGAGACAAAGAGGGTCTCTTTTGTATGGTGGTTTAGTAACAGGGATCTCTCAAGAAAGTGGCTTTGCTTTGGCAGAAGGCTAAGTGTTAGAACCAAAGATGATGCAAGAACAGCAGCTCGAGCCGCCTAATCCTAACTCGATCGAGTTCAACACTTAGAGCTTTTTAGAACAAAATCCTAACTACCCTTTTTGGCATTTCGCCTTTGAAACTGAGGAGCTTTGCTCACTTTTCTTTTAAGAACTTCCTAGGGAGAGGCTTCTTGAGGTAACATCTAGCGGTTTGGGATTTTCTAAACACTTAGGGAACTTTTCTTTCTTTTTGACACTTGAGGCTTTGCCTTCTTTTCATTCTACTTAGAACCCTTTTTACTTCCTTTTTTAACTTCCCAAACCTTTACTAGACCCTTTTTAACACTGCCAACTCCCTGGACTTAACTAAACTCTTTTTCCTTTGGATTTTTCCCAACTTTTACCACTTTTCTGGTTTTTACACCCAACTCGATCGAGCTCGAGTTGGCACCCCCAAACTTAGCCTGAAAACAATCCCAAGAGAACTAGACAACTAGAACTACTGCCCCTGCCGGTTTAAACACAACACCTTATGCTAAGCAAAGCCAAGAAAGGTTCTCACAATCGCACAAGAGATAATATGGGGTTTGAAATGAAAAGGCTTAGGTTTAAGGTGTGGTAACTGTCTCAAAGATAGAGATCAGCTATCTGGACAAGCAAAGGGATATGAAAATGGTAAAGAATGTCCAGATATGTATGTGGTAGCCATGAGTTGAAATCAAATGCAAGCATTGGTAATTAAAGATCAAGTTATGGTTCAAATAGATAGGGAAATGCATCAAATCACAGCAATGGTTGAATGAGATGTGCATGCAGTGATATGATCAAGATAAACATGGTTCTTGCTGCTCAATCAATCTCACCCTAATGCACAAAAGAATCTAAAAACAGGGCACTCAAGAAATCGCAAAAGATGGACAAGTTTTCAAAGTCAAATCAACAATGCAAGTGAAAATGCAATCCTAAACAAGTCTAACAAATATGAATGCAAAAAGATGAAAATATTTTTGGATTTTTTGAAAATTTTATGATTTTTTTGGTTTTTCTATGCAAAAGATAATGAAAAACTAAGAACAAAGAAAACAAGGTTAAATCATCTCTTGAACCCTCCCCCAAACTTAAATCACACAGTCCCTTGTGTGAGAAAATTTAGTGAAAGATTCAAGAGGGCAAAACCAAGAAAAAAAAACAAATGCAAGAAAATATGAAATGGTATATACAAGGGTTGGTGTTTGGATACCTCAGTGCCCCCCAAAGAACTGGGAGGCAAGGTCGTGGTCTGGAGATGGGAGACGGCCATCAGGAGCACTCCACTCGACTGGGTTCGTGCACTCGATCGAGCTTGCGGCTCCTCTTCTTCCTCTTCTTCATCGAAAGTGTGTGTGGCTCCTTGGCCTTGGTGGAGCTGCTTGCTCGAAGCGGTTGTAGGGTCCAGTGGTCTGAGAGAAGTCCTGGTAGGGCGTTGGATCGTACTCGAAATCCAGGGTTCTCAAACAGGGGCTCCTCCAGGTCAACTCGACCCTCAGCTCGATCGAGTTGAGTTTCCTCTGTTTGGACTCGATCGAGTTGGAGCGTCTGGCCTTGGAACTCTTCCTCCTTCTCTGCGTGTTGTCTCTCCTTCCCTTGGCTCGAAAGAAGAGGCTCTGTGAGGCTCTTGGGCAGGGAGCCTCCTTGGGTGGTGAGGAGTGATCTACTCCTAGGGAAAGTGGGGCCATTGGTTCTTCTTCTTCTTGATGAAGAACCAGAAACCTTCTTCTCCAAACTCTTGATCTTGCTCACCATCTTGTCCATGGACTTTTGCATCTTTCCATGGCTTTCCCTTGCCACTTGTTGAACTTTTGGAGAAGTCCAATCCTCTTGTGGGCAGCCACAACAGAGGGGTTCATCCTTGGAGCCTCATACTCCTCAAAATAGTAGCACTCAGGCTCACCCAAATCCGCACTCTCCTGGGCTCAGATCCTCAGCTCGATCGAGTTCAGGCTCCTCTTCTCGCAAATCATCTTCATGCCCAACTAAGTGTACAGGGGGTCTGAAGTCAATGTTCTCACCCCTGACACTGTGGTGAGCTCAGGGTTGGGCAGGAGAAGCTTGGAGGGCCAGCCAATGGATGTGTGAACTTGAATTGGAACCTCCCATCCAACTCCTTGTGCTCAATGAGAGGTTGGTCTTGCAAAACTTGATGTCCATCCAACCTGGTTCAGTAGGCTTCCTCAGTTGGGTCACTCCAGCAGCACACAAGATAGGAGTGATGAGCCCTCCAACACTAAGCTTCCTTCCTTTTGATGCCTAGTGTTGTAGGCTGTGGTCTTGTAGGTGAGGAGTGTCAAGGAAAGGCATCAAGTTCCTGTGTGCTATCTCCCCTGATCCTCTTGCCATCCTTGTGCGTGAGAGAATGGGCTTGATTCCCATGTCAAGAAACTTGAGTTCCCCTCATTGATTGTCCCGGTTGCCTTCCTTGCAAAGAAGGTGTTGGCGAGTGCCTTGTGCACATATCTCAAGCACTGGGCTCCTGATTGAGCTGCCTTGACCTTGAGGAAGAGTATCCATCAGCGATTGTAGCCCAAACCCTTTGGAGTCCTTTTCCTTGAAGTTCCACTGGTTCCCTCTCCATAGTTGAACCCAAACAAGATCTCCAACTGCCTAAAGGTCACCATTCTCTTCTCTCCCTTAGCCAAGAACGTGATCCATCCCAATCCTTGGTCCAAATCAGCTCTATCCTCCTCATACATGTGGTACCTCATTGAAGCCAAGAACTCGCAAGTGAGCTCCTTGTAGGATTCCATGTGGTAGAGAAGAACTTGGCCAAGTGCATGTTCTTGAGACTAGCTCCACATCCTCAAAGATTCCAAGGGCCTTCATTGTGTCAACATGTGGGTACTTGGTTCCACAAAGTCCATGGAGAAGAGAGCATTGTAGTGCTCTTGGTACATGGGGAGCTCATCCTCTTCTTCCTCTGACTCCTCCTCTCCATGGGCACATTCTCATTACTCTCATGCTCACTTCCTCAATCTCTTGATTGACCTCTTCTCCTTCCTCTTGTGAAGAGTCATCATTCTCTCCCCTTCCATGTTCACTCCAATCTCAAACTCCCCTTCGCTCTCACTGCTGATAGGATCATTCCTTCTCTTGGTTCTTCTCTCTTCCCTCAACCTCTCAATCTCTTCCTCATCTTCCTTGGTTAGTGTCTTAATCATTCTCCTTGCTCCTCTCTTATCTCCTCCTTTGTGAACGCTGCCTTGCTTCCTTCACCTCTCAACATCTTACTTGTTGTTCTTAAAGTGGGTTCCTGAAATCATCAAAACAAAGAATTAGAGTTGTAATGATCGGTTTGGTCAACTCGACACTCAGCTCGATCGAGTCAAAAAACTCGAGTGACAAACTCGATCGAGCTAGGTGAAAACAGAGTATAACCGAACCTAATTCAAGTATTAAGAGCTGGAAAGGATGCTAATCAATCAAATTGAACCAAGAACAACAAGTAAATGGAACAATAGCAATTCTAGTGAAAACCAAGCATCTTAACCAATACCAAACTCAAATTCAATGTTTCAAGCACATGCAACAAGTTCTAATGGAAAACAGAGGTGAGGTGAGGCAAATTCACAAAACTTAAGCAGGAGAATGATATGAAAGCAATTACTCAAGAACAATCCCAAGGGGCACATGCAATCAAAAATCAAAGAGGAAACAAGCAATAGAGAGGAATCGAGATGGAGGATCAAGGGTTTTAGGGTTCATACCTTGCTTGAATGATGAATTGAAGAACAGTAACTAGAACCCAAGCAAAACAAGATGATGAACAATGAAATCGCAAAAACTTAAGAGAGAGAGATTTCGATTTTCTTGTGGTGAAGAGAGAGATGGATGATTTCAGAAATTTTAAGTGTGGGAGAGTGGAGAGGGGTTCGATCGAGTTATGGGGAAAGGGAGTGTTTGAGATGTGTGGTTGAGATTAAAAGATGAATTAAAGAGGGGACAAAAGGCAAGGGTTTTTCTGATCAATTTCAGGAAGTGGGGGACCAAAATTAACTTGTGGGACCCACTCCCTTGACCAAGAAAACGGTTGAAATTTGAATTTTGAAAACTTACCTTGGTCGAGTTGTGGAACTCGATCGAGTTGCCCTGGTTTCTAGCTCGATCGAGCTGTCGGTCGAGCTGGCTCCTTTGTCACCTAAACTTAACTTATTGAAAGGTTAAAGACACAAAATAGATAGAAATTGCATAAATAGAATATGTACAAGGATAAACATGGGACTTCCTCCCAAGTGAGCTTGTTTAAGGTCCCATAGCTTGACCTTTACCTTCTTAGGCATTGGTTGAGCTAGTCCCACCATCAAGGGTGATAGTGAGGACTTGAGACAGAAGCTCCTTTAGCTTGGTTGGGTCCCTGGATTGTTCTGAAGTCACCAAGGCCTTGGCTCTAGAGAATGGCCTTGATCTCCCCTTGTACCTTATCTTGTACTCAATCTTCCCATTTTCAAACTTGGTGGGGAACAAGGTCATTGTGAGCTGAGATGGCTTGACTGAAGGGGCCTGAGCTGGTGGATCCTTTCTTTTATCTCCTGAGGCTACATCCTCCCCTTCTTTTAGAGCCCTTCCTAGTGGCTCATCAAACAAAGCTTGAAGGCTCTCTTCATCAAGCACACAAGGGGCTTGAACAAGTCCTATCAGCTCTGGCCTATCAGACGTGGTTTCTCAACTCTAGCCCTCTCAAGACGTGGCTTCTCAACTTGTCCTCTATCAACTCCTTGTCCTTCTCAACCTTATCCTTCCCAACTCTTGGTTCTTTGTCAACCCTTTCCTTCACAATCTTTGTAGCAGATGTGAAAATCAGCCAAATGAGTTTTAGGCCCAGGACCTTGTTCCAAGCTGCGAGTCGCTTCAGACCAAGACCACCGCTTTCTTTAGGGGTGCAAACAGAGTCCCTTGAAAGAAATCCTCGAATGTATGAATAAGCACAAACCAATGATGTCTATTAGTTCAGAGAAAATGCTGTCCCAACATCAAGAAGATAGCACTGTCGCCAATAGGACAAGATCAAAGCCTGCCGTACACCCAGGACAGTCTCTTTCTGATGTGGTAGCAATTCTAGGAACAATAGGATCTCAAAAAGATTTCTAACACTCCAGATTGCTTCAGACCTTCGCTGCTTATTATGTTACACAAGTTGCTGCAGTTTTCGCTCCATCAAGTTCTCAGACCAGAGATAATTTATCCTTACAGCTTCTTCTTGCTTCAGGAATCCTGATTCCACCTGTCTTAAAGCTTTACAAATATTCCAACATGATGATTCTCATCCTAGGTATGAAACACACAAAGCATGACAGACCCTGCAGCTTTGTTTCATATACTTGAAACACTCTTATCACAAAATAAGACAAGCACAAATGCTGCTGGTTATTTCGTCTCCTTTTATTTCCCTTGATCGTTGTTGACTTCTTGATGATATACTTTCCCAGCCTTTTGATCATTATAATCTTAAAACCTGAACAACAAGCTTCTTGTTCTCTCGGAATGATATAGCCACCATCTTGCTCACTCAGCCTTTTCACTTTGTTCCTCAGACTCAGATTTCTAAGCGTCAACAACAGCCATAATTTTTTATTTAAAGCCTTTCCTTTGCAGATTCAACACCGCTGTCAGAGACCTGTGGTTGTCATCGATGAAAATCTCCATGAACCTCATAGTAGTGAAACTTTCTCCACCGAAAGCCTTTGTTCCCTATCAGCCTCCGATTTTCTTACATCAGAACACGAGACATACAGAGTAAACCTCTGAATATTCAGCCTAGCCTCGAGAAGTCACACCGAACCCATTTGCTTCATAAAGATAAACCCCTTTGCACTTGACATCAAAGAAACTGCAATTTTATGTACCACTGCCAAGTCCCAATTCATATCTTATGAACTCGGTTCTTATCAGTTCACAGAAAACTCAAGAGCATGTTACTTCTCCCTCCAATTCCGATAATTTTCATAATCAAGCTTGCTTCTTATCAGTTCATAGAAGAACAATCAAGAGCATGTTACTTCTCCCTCCAATTTCGAGAATTTCTCAAAACTAGGCTCTGAGCTGTTTTCTTCTCCTTCGTCTGGCAACAATCCCTGATAGTACTCTCTTGTTTCAGATTTTCTCCGAATAATCCTTGCAACGCACCATTTTCAACAAAAAGGGCAGCAGATCTCTTTCGTGAAACTTGATTTTCTCGCTTGTGATTTGCAGCAAATTCTTCCCATGCATCTTCATGCTTTAATCATGTCCTCAAAATCAACTAGTCCCCTGATACACTAGGGATTCTTCATCACTGCATTTGTATCTATCATATCTTGAGCTCGTGATGAGAAACCCATAAACTGTACTTTCTCCATGCCAATCAATCTCTTCCTTTACTCATTGATCTAGTTTTTCTGAAAACTCACTCAAATTTCCTGCAACTGATCTCTTGAGAAAATACACCCAATCACTCTTCTTATGATGCAAGCGTAAGACATGTACCTTCACTGATTCTTATTGTCTTCAAATCAGATGCATGTTGTCTCCTTTTCACTCTAGGGAGCTCTCTTTGCTCTTCCTTAATTGCTCACTTCTCAAGTCTTATGGTTTAAACCACTTAATCAAAGGCTAAAATTCCTTGAAGCTCCATACACCTCGTGAACTGCAAAAGCTTTCATCGATCTTGTGAAAAACAAAAATCTGCAGAAGTAGCGACTCCTCCAACTCAATTGCTCCAAATTTTGAGAATTTCAATATTCAACCTCTGTAAATTCTCATAAGCTCACACCAGAAGGCCTCTTTGTTGCTCACTTGATAAATCTTCTTTCTTCGATCTTTTGTCTCGACAACTTCCGTTTGAACAACATCATCTTGATTTAAAGTAAGTAGAATAATATTAAAACCCCGATAAAAATATTTAAATAAAATAAGATTGGTAATCTTTTTATATTTTTATTGTAATTGATATATTTTTTGAATTTATGATATGAAAAATGAATTAATTTGTTTTATTTTTATTTTTATCCAATATAGAAAGACTTATATATGTCTAAATATGATCAATTGATTAATTAATTCAACAAAACTTTATTATTCCATTCAAGAGATTTCAATTGATGAAATCTTTATTTAATAATTTTTTACCTAAAAATATTGAAAATTAAACTATTAAAATTAGAATATCGGTTCATTATATTTTCTTAATATTAATTAGTTGCTGAATAATTATTTTGTTAGTTTTCTATATATTGTTTCTTTTTCAATTTTTGTTTTTTCCTGAGACGATTATAAATTTTCATTTTCATTATTAGTTAGTTTTGATTATTATTTTGCTATTTTTTTATATCTGTTTAACATTTTTTCCAATTAACATGTCTTCACCGGATCAATTATTAGATACATATAACGACAATTATTTTGATTTATATCCAACTGATATAGAGTAAGATACATGTAACGACAATAATTTTGATTTCTATCTAACTTATATAGAGTTAGATAAATGTAATGACAATAATTTTGATTTCTATCCAACTAATATAGAGATAAATGTTATTCAGTGATACCATGAATTGTAAAGTCATGATTTTTTATCTTTTTATGCGAGAAAAGATTATACAAAAGGTAGAAGCACACAATTGAATCGCAATAGCTTATTATATATATTTTTTTTCTTCCTTTTCGTAATGGAAATATAAACATAATTTTTTGAGTTATAAAAATCCCACTTCGATTCCCCTATATAATAAATAAATAATAATATAATAATTCTTTGATAAAAATAAAATATTAAAGAACTATTTAAATAACTAGGTGGTTGGCCCGCGCCTGCGCGGGCAAGAGATGTTTCAAAATTCCAATTTTTTCAATTAATATTAGATTAATGCATTTTATTTTTAATTATTTTTCATATTTTCCAAGGAAGTAATATCTTAACATTTTGTTATCTTAACATTTTGCATTTTTTTATTCGTTATTATGATTTTTTTTTTTTTTGCTTCTTCCAATTTTTGCTCTTCAATCATTTATTTTGTCTTCATATCCTCCAACTTACTATTTCTTTTTCTTTCTATTTTTTTTTACATTCTTTTTCCGGTTTATCTTCTTCCTCATTCCCCTTCTCTCTATCTTTGTCATCTTCGTCTTCTCTAACATCATCTTATTCTAATTTTTATTTATCTTTTATTTATCTTCTTTGTTTTCTTCTTCTTCTCGAAGATTCTCAGCTTTTTATCCACCGTCTTCTTTTATTCTACTTGTGTTTTTGTTCCTTCTTCTCTATGTCTTATATTTCACTTATCAATTCATTCGATAGTTTATATTTTCAAAGATTCGTGAAATAGTTTTTATCTTTATATAATAAAGAACTTTTAAAAATCTATTTAATTTGTGCTGTTATCTTTTGAGTATGGATTTGCTTTAATTGTTTTAGTTTTTTCTATTTGTGAGTGTATTTTAGAATGGTAGATATAAATTTATAGTCAGTGATTTTTAATTTTGATATACTTCTATTATAATTCAAATTTTTTTAAAATGCATCAGAAACTAAATTCTACACCCATCAATATAGACCCTAAACCCTAAACCAAAATCCCACATTATAAACCCCCCTCCCCCTAATTAAAGAACCTATACCCTAAACCCAAAACCACATTATAACTCCCCCTGAATCACACACATGAATCTCACATTACAAATTAGTTATTTATAAATTTTTTTTTGTAATTGTTGTTTTCTTATCCTTTTTATTCCTCTAGTGATCTCATCTTCTTCTTTTTTTCTTCCATTATTTTACTCGTTATCATCATCTTTTTTTTTTCTGCTTCTTCTTCATGTTCCAATTTTTGTTCTTCAATCGATTTTTGTGTCTTCATATCCTCCAACTCACTATTATTCTTTTTCTTTCTAATTTTCTTTACATTCTATTTCCGATTTTTCTTCTTCCTCATTCCCCTTCTCTTTCTATCTTTATCATCTTCATCTTCTCTGACATCAACTTATTCCATCATCTTCTTTTCTCTTACTCATGTTTTTCGTTGTGGTCTACGTTTTGTATTTCACTTATCAGTTCATCCGATAGTCTATATTTTGTTGATTCACAAATTCAATTAATATTAGATAAATGCATTTTCTTTTTAATTACTTTTCTTATTTTTGTAATGTGTTTATTTTCCAAAAACGTAATAGCTTAACATTTTGTTAATTTGATATGAACTTATAAATTGTTAATGCACAAAAAAATTAATTAAATTTTGTAATGATTGTTTTCTTCTCCTTCTTATTATTTTTCAATGATCTCATCTTTTTTTTTTCTTCCAATTTTTTATTCTTTGTCATCATCTTTTTTTTTTTGCTTCTTCTTTTTCCAATTTTTGATCTTCAATCCTTTCTTATGTCTTCATATCCTCCAACTTACTATTCTTCTTTATCTTCCTAATGTTCTTTACATTCTTTTTCCGGTTTATCTTCTTCTTCATTCCACTTCTCTCTATCTTTGTCATCTTCGTCTTCTCTAACATCATCTTATTCTAATTTTTATTTATCTCTTATTTCTCTTCTTTCTCTTCACATTTCATTTTTTTCTTCTTTGTTTTTTTTCCTCTTCTTTGTTTTCTTCTTCTTCTCGAAGATTCTCATCTTCTTATCCGCCGTCTTCTTTTATTCTACTCGTGTTTTTATTCCTTCTTCTCTACGTCTTATATTTCACTTATCAATTCATTTGATAGTTTAGATTTTCAAGAATTCGTGAAATAGTTTTTATCTTTACATACTCAAGATCTTTTAGAAAATATATTTAATTTGTGTTGTTATCTTTTGTGTATAGATTTGCTTTAATTGTTTTAGTGTTTTATATTTGTTAGTGTATTTTAGAATGGTAGATATAAATTTATAATCAGTAATTTTTAATTTTGAAATACTTCTATTATAATTCAAATTTTTAAAAATGCATCAGAAACTAAACCCTACACCCATCAATATAAACCCTAAACTCTAAACCCAAACCCCACATTATAAACCTCCTCCCCCTATTTAAAGAACATACACCGTAAATCCAAATCCACATTATAACTCTCCCTGAACCGCACAACTGAATCTCACATTACAAATTAGTTCCTGATTTTTGCATTTATTTTTATATTATTTATAATCTTTTTTTGTAATTGTTGTTTTTTATCCCTTTTATTTATTTCTAGTGATCCCATCTTTTTTTTTGTCTTCCATTTTCTTACTTGTTGTCATCATCTTATTTTTTTCTGTTTCTTCTTCATCTTCCAGTTTTTGTTCTTCAATCGTTTGTTTTGTCGTCATATCCTCCAATTCACTATTATGTTTTTTCTTCCTAATTTTCTTTACATTATATTATCGATTTTTCTTCTTCCTCATTCCCCCTCTCTTTCTATTTTTATCATCTTCGTCTTCTCTTTCATCATCTTATTACATCATCTTCTTTTCTCTTACTCATGTTTTTCGTTCTTGTCTACGTTTTGTATTTCACTTATCAGTTCATTCGATAGTCTTATTTTTGTAATGTGTTTATTTTCCAAGAAAGTAATAGCTTAACATTTTGTTAATTTGATATAAACTTATAAATTGTGAAAGCACAAAAAAATTAGTTAAAGTTTGTAATGATTATTTTCTTCTCCCTCTTATTCTTTTTCAGTGATCTCATCTTTTTTTTTTCTTCCGTTTTTTTATTCTTTGTCCTCATCTTTTTTTTTGGCTTATTCTTTTTCCATATATTAGAATGGTATACTTCTATAATTTTTGTTCCAATTTGTGTTCTTCATCTTCCAATTTTTGTTCCTCATCTTCCAATTTTTGTTCCTCAATCATTTTTTGTGTCTTCATATCCATAAATACATTCTTTATAAATATATAATGTTTGAATTGTAGAAGAAGAATAGCATATCATCTTATATGAATATGAAGGAGATTTATTCTTCTTATGTATCACGGTGGACAAACATTTATCAAATAAATTAATTTCGGCTAATAATAGGTTTATAATCTTATATAAAACCATGCCTGATTCAAGAGGTGTTGATGCTAATGTAACAGCATCAGTATTCATCTTTCAGCATCACAAGCCGATGAAAACCACATTAACTTAGTAAAATACTTATTATACTTAATAATATAAGTAGTAGAATTTTTATTGTATTCATCGTTTTTGTTTTCGCAAACTTCTTGCTTTTGTATCTTGATGTATTTTATTTTTGTCTTCTCTTTCTTGTTCTTCTATGTAATCTTCTTCATTCGTTTTGGAATTTTCTTAACATTCCAATTTTTCTTCTTTGCTTTCTTTTTCCTCATTTTTGAGTTTTCTTCTTCTTCTCCAAATTTTTCATTTTTTTTTCACTCTCTTCTTTTCTTTTGCTTGTGTTTTTATTCTTTCTTCTCTATATCTTGCATTTTACCTATCAATTCATTTGATAGTTTAGATTTTCAAGGATTTGTGAAATAGTTTCTATCTTTAGATAGTCAAGATCTTTTAAAAATTCATTGGTTTTGTTATCTTTTGATTCTGGATTTTCTTTAGCTGTTTTAGTTTTTTTTTCTATTTGTGAATATAATTTTGAAAGTAGATATAAACTTATTATAATGAATGATTTTTTCTTATGAAATTCTTCCATAATAATTCATGTTTTTACAAATGCACCAAAAACTAAACCCTACACCCATCACTATAAACCCTATACCTTAAACCCAAACCCCCACAGTGTAACACCACCCCTTAAACAACCCAAACCCCACAATTGTAACACCACCGCCTATAATAAAGTTCATGTAACAAAATAACACCACCCCCCTAACAAACAACCCAAACCCCACACCACCCGCCACCTAAACAACCCTACACTCTAAACCCAAACCCTACATCATAACCCTCGTACTCTCCCCCCCCTCCAATCTGCACACCCGAACCCACATTTTACAAATTGGTTCTAGATTTACTTTTAATTTTATTTTATTTTTAACATAAGTTTTTTTCTGTTTTTAATCGGTAACTTAGTGTTTTCAAAAATTTTAAAGTGGATCAAAAACTAAACCTTACGCCCATCAATATAAACTGTAGGTCATAAACCCCAACCCCATTTTATCTTCTTATTTTACTGTCTTTTACTTCTTCATATATGTTTCTTCATTTTCTACCAATTATTTCTTATTTTTATCAAAGTTTCTATTCTCTTTTTATTTTCTACTCTCTTTATCGTCATCTTATTATTTCCAAATTTTTATCAGTTTTTTTCCTTTTATTTAAAATTGTCTTTGTGTTTTTATTCTTCATTTTTTTTTATCTTTTGATTTTTTCAACTTCTTTATTTTTTCACATATTCTTCAATTGTTTACTACTATAGTAGTATTACCCTCCTTTTTTATTCGTGGTATTAGAATCAAGTTATCCTATTTTTAATACTCCATGAATATTGAATATTATGCGACCGAAGGTTGTTTTTTATTTTAAGCAGTTTTTATTGTATTTAGCGTTTTTGTTTTCGCAAAATTCTTATTTTTGTAATCTTGATGTGTCTTATTTTTGTCTTCTCTTTCTTGCTCTTCTATGTAATCTTCTTTATTCATTTTGAAATTTTTTTCACATTCTATTCTTTACTTTCTTTTTCCTCATATTCGAGTTTCCTTCTTCTTCTCCAAATTTTTCATCTTCTTTTTCACTCTATTATTTTCTTTTGCTTGTGTTTTTATTCGTTCTTGTCTATATCTTGCATTTCACCTATTAATTCATTCGATAGTTTATATTTTCAAGGATTTGTGAAATAGTTTCTATCTTTAGATAGTCAAGATCTTTTATAAATTAATTGGTTTTGTTATCTTTCGATTCTGGATTTTCTTTAGTTGTTTTAGTTTTTTATATTTGTGAATATAATTATTCAAATAGATATAAATTTATAATGAATGATCTTTTATTATGAAATTCTTCCATAATAATTCAAGTTTTTTAAAATGCACATAAAATTAAATCCTACACCCTAAACACAAACCCCACAGTGTAACACCACCTCCTAAACAACCCAAACCCCAAAGTGTAACACCACCCCCTATAAAAACGTTCATGTAACAAAATAACAATCCCCCCCCCCAAACAAACAACCCAAACCCCACAATGTATAAGCACCCACCCACCTAAACAACCCTACACCCTAAACCCAAATCCTACATCATAACCCCTCGTTCCCTCCAACTGCACACAGAACCCCATTTTAAAAATTGGTTATAAATTTAATTTTATTTTAATTTTGTTTTTAACAGAAGTTTTTTTTTTTGTTTTTAATTGGTAATTTAGTGTATTCAAAATTTTTAAAGTGCATCAAAAACTAAACCTTACGCCCATCAATTCAAACTGTAGATCGTAAACTTCAACCCCATTTTATCTTCTTATTTTACTTTGTCTTTTACTTTTTCATACTTTTTTCTTCATTTTCTATCATTTTTTATTTTTCTTATGAAACTTTCTATTCTCTTTTTATTTTCCTCTCTCTTAATAAAAATATATATTTTTGTTATATTTCTCTTTTGGCTCATAACTTCAGTTTAAACCATCAATATAATAATGATGTTTACTTTAAACCCTAAACTTTAATCGAGAGAGCAAACATGCTCCCACGAAACAAAATTTTGACTTCACAAATAATATATTAGATTTTGCCACATTAACATCAGGAAATATTTTCTCACCAAATCATTACCTCTCGCCATCAGAAAAATGGGAGAGGAATATTCTGAGTTTCACGTTTTCTTCTTCATCCTAACTTTGAACTTGTGAGTGCCTTTCCGCACCACTCCTCTTCCTAGTGTTTCTCTCTGCCATGGAATGTCTACAGAATGTCAAAAACAATTTACTTTCATATATAAAAGCATTTCAGAATAAATATTTAATGTTTCTGTGTATATAATTCAAAATTAATTTTGTAAGCATGTGTATAAGAGAATCTTTCACCACCAACAACTTCAATAGCTTCAGTGACTTCCATGGCAGGGAAGAGCATACCAGCAATCAATTCCGAATTGATCATGAGCTAAATCTCTTTCTATGTTTTCATGAAACCATTCACGTCGGAAACAATATCCGAAGGATATAAGGTTACGGTTTACAGACTTGGATACATCCCTTGCTAAGAGAACCACCTGCTAAGAACTTCACAAAACTGTCAAACACAACACAAGAAAAATTTCCACGCCAATATTATACAATTGAGAGATCCAACAATTATCAACACTCAGGATTCAGGAAAGGCTTGAGTCCAGTAAACCCAATACGTGTTAGATTTTGTGTTTACAAAACAGAAGAAGAAGAGAAGAGACAAAAACAGAGTGTCTTATGAAGAAGACATGAAGAACGAAATATACCTTTTATTGATCTGAAACTTGATGAGTTCCATGATTGTGTTTCAACGTGTTCAATAGTTTTTGTGACAAAAACACAAGAGTTGTGTCTTTTGCTTGTGTCTTAAACACAACCTCCACTAACCGGCACAACTCTTGCAGACACCCTTTGATACACATAAAAGTAACTTGATTATATCATACGACCAAACTCCATTAAATCCAACACTCCCTCTTAATTGAGTTTCGGTGTTATCCCAAGCTTTTCCTTAAACTTGTAAACTCTTTTCTTCAAGAGTTAATGTCTTCTTCATAGTGCTTCACACATCTTGCTTGAGCTTCTTCTCAATCCCTTGTTCATGACATTGGAACTCTCGGCTTCTCTTCCCTGCGAGTCTTCTCCATGTCTCCTTCAAATCATTCGTACGTTTTCTTGACGTCTCACGTACGTCTCGCGTTCTCATGACATCTAATGCGTGAAATCTTCTTCACATAACCAATCCTCCTTTCTTTCTTCCTTTGATCACCATCACGGATCTGTGATGTCTCGTGCGGGAATCCTCTTCACCACTTCTTCTTTTGTTATCTATGTAACCAATTTCTACTCCATTTTTCAGAGAGGCAAGCATCCTCCTTTGGTGTCTTCCTTTGATCACCATCAACGTCTCTTTAACATCTCGTACATGGATCCTCTCTCCACGTCGTCTTCGGTTAACGCTTCAAACCGACTTGTGCTCCGTTTTTCTCAGAGGTAAGCATCCTATTTTTGCTCCATTTTTCTCTGAGGTAAGCATCCTCTTTGTTGCTTCAACGTCTCATTGACGTTACAAACGTGACTCATCTTCATGTCTACGGTTAACTCTGTAACCGCCTCCTTATGTGGATCTTCTTCTCCACATCTTCTCCAGCTATCTGTGTAAACCGTTCTCAGAATCTCATTATCCACCTCTTTTCGGTTATTGTGTAACCGCTTCAATGCGCCTTCCTCTGTTTCTCTCAAACAGGCGGCTTCTCCATCAAGTTTGAGAATTCTTCCACAACTCCAACTTTTACATCCGTTTTTCTCCATAGCCTTTTGAAAAGATCTCCTATCTCCTTCACCGCTTTTGGAGCCTCCCTCGTTAAGGTACGGCATGTGAGCGTGTTTGTGAATGTCGATGGTACTCTCCCTTGGCACCACCTTTTCCTTTTCTATTTCTTCTTCTTCTTCTTCTTCTTCTTCTTCTTCTGGTCGGTTTAGTCTCCGTCTTTCTCTTCTCGCAGCGGATTTTTGTTTTCATCTTTTTGTGTGTGCTTATACAGGTTCCCATGACCACCATGAAAGCTCTGATACCATGTTAGATTTTGTGTTTACAAAACAGAATAAAAAGAGAAGAGACAAAAAAAACAGATTGTCATATGAAGAAGACATGACGTAGAACGAAATATAACTTTATTGATGTCAAACTTGATGAGCTACATGATTGTGTTTCAACGTGTTAAATAGTTTTGGTGACAAAAACACAAGAGTTGTGTCTTTTGCTTGTGTCTTAAACACAACCTCCTCTAACCGTCACAACTCTTACAGACACCCTTTGATACACATACAATACTAACTAAATTACATCAGACGACCAAACTCAATTAAATCCAACAATAAGCATTATCTAAGAACAGTCACGTAAAACTATAAGTGAAACAACCAACATTTTTTTTTTAATAAATAAATTAAATAACAATTCAGCGGAAGTCTTTAAATAAATAAATAAATAATAAATCAGGTTCAACAAATAAATTCAAATAAATAATTAAAGGAAATACTAGCAACCTAAACACCAGGTACTAGCAAGTCAAACAATGCAAAACAATAAAACAGTAAACATCCTATCATCCCCCTCTTCAGCCTTGATTCCGCGATCACACAAATCTTTTACCTGCAACACATTGGAATGGAGTTGCGTAAGTATTTAATAAATACTTAGTGAGGCAATCACTCTGCCTACGAGCCATTTACGCAATTACTAGATATTTAATAATATTATAAACTCCAATAATTATTAAATACCATTTTCCAATTATTAAATAATTTTTAATAATTAAAACTCAATTTCTCAATTATTAAATAATTCTCATAATTAAATAATAATTTTCCATATTTTAAAATAATTAAATAATTATTTTAAACCATTTAATCAATTAAAATACTCATTAATTAATTAAATACGAATTAAACCAACCAAAATCGATTAAACCATCTCCAATTGATTTAAACCAGCCAATTTCAATTAAACCAATTAAATTGATTTTAACCAGAGTTAACCGGTCTGTGTCGACCGACACCAGCTTGGTGTCGACCGACACAAGCCTTCTGGTGTCGACCGACACCGATTCTGGAAAAACCCAGATCGGGCTATGAACAGTACCTGAAACTCGGAATTCACAGGAAATCATCAAACAACCATAAACACTGAATCAAACATCAATATCATCACAAAATCACCACATAAACACATACATATCTTGAATCTAGCAATCACGGACCCACAGTCATGCACTCACCTCGATTCTAGGTTGAAAAGAGGGGAAAACGAATTGGAGAAGATGAACTGAAGCAAGGAACGACGAAGAACACCACGCAGCACCACCACACACACCCAGAACTCTGAATCGCTGATGAACAGACTCGGATTTAACACCAAACACTGGAATCACCTCAGAAAACACTTCTCCTCTCACAATCGCCCACTAAACGACAAAACTAAGGAAGAGGACGGCGGCTGCACGATTTTATTTCGTGAACAAGGGTTTCCAAGCCCTTAACCGGTCTAAACCAACTCAAATTGGACCGAAATTGCAAACAGGTTTGTGTCGGTCGACACTCGACCAAAACTGCACCTTTTTGGTTTACGGATGTTACAATAAGCACAACCTACCAAACTATTAATAGGAAGATTAAGATATACCAGAATATAGTACCTTTATGCATACCTTCATTTTTTTACGACCTGGTATGCGCCCACCGTCACAGCGTCGTTGATGTAGAAGATCACGCGCGATCTACCGTTTGTGTTCTCAAATCAAGGGGAAAGTGATAAAATTTAAGGAGGAAGAGAAAACAAACGATCATGATCTATCATTATTCCTTTGTTGACCAATTAGATAACAGTCGCCATGTTCTTTCAAATAAACATCTAGTTTGCTAGATTATGGCTTCGATGGAGCTTGGTGGCGAAGAAGAAAAAGATGTGGTTGATTTTGTATATCATCTATGGTTTTATATTTATATATTGAGATTTAGGTCTAGATTTTAGGTTTTTTTTTTTAATTTTCTATTTTAATGATATGAAATATTTCGTTTCCTTATTTTATTTTATTTTAAATTCAATCTTTTCCAGAGCATTTTACACATCCAGATACATCCAAAAAATTGCAGATACATTATGCCAAAACTGCTTATAATATGGAACAGAGAGTATGTTACATCTTTTTTAAATGAAACTTATGTTACATCTCCTATGGCATATGCAGGAAAAATAGCTGGTTTGTTCTTGTTGAACCCTTAAGAAGCCATGTTTCTCTTCGTAAACAAACAAAATTTAATAACAACGAAGATAAGAACAAAATCAGCTCGGAAATTACAAAATAACTATCTACGAACTAAAACCTGTCCGACCAAAACAAAACAGAGTAACGACATTCAAAATAAATGAATTCTAGACTTTAAGATGAAGAGAGACTTATACGAAGAGAACCAGTTTACGGAAACAAAATCTTAACCAAGTGAAGAAGAGATTACAAACAACAACAACTCACTCATTAACAGATCAATTATTAAACACAAAGCTCCATAGTGAATTAATGAACAGTTTGTGGCCTTTTGCATCAACCATGCTTAAAGGCATCCATCTCCAAACACGTTATATGGTTTCAAACCAAAAACACTATATAGACCCAAACAATACGTACACAATGAACAATACTCCAGCAGAATCATGACCAAATCGCGGTAACAGAGTCAGATCATATCATCAGAATTTTAAACCTCTGAAAACCGCATTCGGATGATTCACGTCTCGACATGAATTATGTTTTCTGTGCAAATTGGGAAACAAAGTACGATACACACAGTGCTAGTAATTAGAACACATCATTGACAACGGTTCAAAGTGTAAAAAACAGCGGTTAGCTATCAGTATACTCTTACTGAAAATCGAAGAATGAAAAATTGTTGAGCTAAGAACCAAACGTCCAAGTTAAGTGTGGCATGAATAAAAGAATACAACACCTAAGACGAAGACATGATTTTTGATTTGGCTTCTTTTATAAGAATTAAAATATAATACAATAGAGTTTTGGAATGCAAACGGTGACAAAGGCATGGAATTTCAAGACGTTGTGTGTTAGACCACTTATCTCACCCTAGCTCGATTCTTTTGTTCATAACCTGTTTAATAGAGATAAGAAAACACATAGTTGATTAGATCTGAAACTAAACAACGTATTGTCTAATCATGCATATCATCCACTAACGATGATAACAAATATACATATTACTTTAGCTTTGAACAATAATGCTACCACTTCCTTGATTGAAAGTTTGAAACAATCTTCTGCGTTTATGTAGGCATATGTATTAAAAAGTAAAACATTATCATACTAAAAGATATCCTCCAACATCCGCTTGGTATTATTTCGACATCTATGCATCAACTAATACATAATCGACTCATCAATCTCAAATACTCCATATCGAGTCTGGAAAAAGGAAACTGAAGATTTCCTGCAACTCTAATCTGAGTAACCAAGCTCTCCTACCAAAACAAAACAGATCAAATACATTCCAAGAAACTACCTAAGATCCAATCAAACTAAAAGTATTTTGATCCTCTTCTCTTCTGTAAATACTTCAGAAATCAGATCCTTGGATTGAAAATTCCATATCCCCCAAATAGCCATAGAGATGAACTGTTTCCTAGTCGCATCAGAGAATTCAAGTGTACAATAAACAAATTAACAAACTATGGACTACCAACGATTATCCTGGTGTTTATCCTTCGTGTTGGCGAAGCAAATATATGCGCAGAACACATACTTTTTTTTTCTACCTCGACTGTATTCACATATTGAATTGTATCTTTACCAAAAAGAGTCAAAAAGGAAAACAGTTGTCAAGATCAAACCACTCCACCACGAGACGATGGCAAAATATTAACTTCAGTGTATATGTAAAACCCGAGATATCAAAGCTTTTGAAAGTTTGTGCTTCCCATCTGTTATCTCTTTCTGATTTGTAACCTTCAATTCCTCTATGTAACCTAAAACGTGATGCAATTACAAAAAATAGATCTAAAATTGCAACAATTAAACAATTATATACATAAAACATGATTGCAAAAATAAATAACTTACCTGCTAGACATGAGCGTGAGACCGTCTCCAACCTGTAAGAAATTAGTTGACGATCAATTTTAGCATAAGAAGAAGTAAGAACTCAAAAATTAAAAATCATGTCAAAAGAAGAAAAGTGTATTGTGATGCTTTTGCTTATTGGTATCTATTTAAATATAGGAGTTTGTTTCCTTTTTTTTTTCCTAAATTGTGGCGTGATAATATGGTAGTTAGGGTATTTATCTTAAAATTTTTTAATAAACAATAAAATTTGTGATTAAAAACAAACAAGGAAATTATGAAGATTTAATAATATATTTTCATTAAGGGTAAGTGGGTAATCAACCAGCTGAGAATGAATGTGGTGCCTCTAAACGAAATTTTTACTTTGCAAATAATATATTAGATAATAAATATTTACTTACCCTTCAAACAATAGAGTCAATTCCACCTTTTGTATCAAGTGGAGTTTTCAAAACATCGAAAATCATTAATCGGACGGTCGGGTGAGGATTTGAGATTTTTTTAAAACGGAGATTAATCGGGGATTAAACGGGGATGAAATTTTGAATATATTTTATATATTTTTCAAACATTTTCATATATAAATATATAACTATATAAAATAACATCCTAATTGAGGAATTGAGCATACTTGTACAACATCCAATTGTCTCTTTATTTATTTTAGTATTGATTAAGGAATAAATTCAATAAAAAAAATTAAAAGCCCTAATTGCCCCTTCTCCTTCGTTGCTTTCCAGTCCG